CAAAATACATACTCTCAGCAAGCAAACATGGAAATTTATATGCCCACGGGATGCTATTTTATTATAAAAGGCAACTAATATGAAAGTACCATTCATATATTATTTACAAAAGCTTTACAAGCACCTGGTTTAACTATATGTGAAGTAAACTTTTGTATTTGTGTCTTAAGAAGGACTATTACTGAATTTCAGCAGTCTCAAAGCTTGCTACAAGGTCCACTGAAGTAGATAGACACCTTTTCCCCAGACTTCAGGGGGTCTAAAGTACCAACTACTCCATAGGATTATGACTAAGAATCATTCATACAACCTATGCTGGTAACTAGTCAGTGTCCTAACAAATCACAAGCAAAATAAACACACTAATAAGAACCTTCCTGTCCATAAAGAACCTGATCATGAAACCCTTGTATCACCGTTTCATATTTTCGAATAAGTGTTGAAGTAGACTTTAACAACTGACCGTTTAGGAGACGATGATTCTGGATGCCATGCAAAGCACGGTAAAGCTCTAAAATTTGTAAATACTTCAATGGCAATTTGAGCAGAGAGCTACCTGTCCCCTTAAGAACCTATGAAGCAAATTAACACAAATGAAGAAGAAGACATGATGGTACTTACTGTTCCATATCTCCAAAATTCTTCACAGATAAGATACCTCAGAGACCTGCATTTGTTTGCAAGATCTCACAGTAGTAAGTCTAATTACACCTACGTGGAAAGGTACTTTGGAGCACTCTTGTGTGCTTTGTTTTTAAAAAAAGATTGGGGAATAACGTTCTAATGAAATCTTGCACCTTTCCTTTTCCTGACAAACTGAATGCATCGGAACAATTATTTAAAAATACCTGGAGTTCATGTCCATTTTCCCAACTTATTAAAAACATTTTGGGATTGTTTGCTCTGTCATTGACATGAGCTTATTAATATTTAAGACCAACTTTAAGTATTTATTCCCTGCCTTGCAGAGTCAACGACTTAAAAATATATTCACATATATTTTAAACCCTGTGATAATGGAGTATTAGGAGGAATGTACTTATTTTTAAAGGAAACATTTTGCATTCATGAAAAGGAAAGGAAATGTTGCTGTTAAAGGCAACAATGCTTTTATCACCTTTTTGTAAGATCTAGGAACCACATCCCAACAGCAAGGAGTTTGTTACACAAAACAGCATTTTGCCTGTGCAGCACGTCTGCTTCTTCAAAACATACAGGTAGCAAATATTAATGATACTGCAAATACACCTCTGCAAAAAAGGTTGTGATATGCAATCAGTTCATGGCATGAAGCAGAAAGCCAAGGAAGATGCCTTCCCTAGCACAATGTTATTTACAGATGCAATCCATCTTGCAAAGGCAATAGTAGTGTTTCCTCTCACAAAACCTTCTGCCACTTCCAAGGTTTTATTCCATCCCTTCTTACTTCCCCCACTGTAAAGTTCACGCCAAAATAAAAATTGAGTAAATTTATATAGCAAATGAATCCCTTGATGCCCCCAGGATGCTGAACTCGGGCAGCTATACAGGAAAATGGCCTGCTTCCTGGGGCCTAGGACACTTCCCATAAACAATTTCCTTAAAAATCACCAGGATTCACAACATTCCTGCAGCCTGTTTAGAAGAAACCCTGCGCATCCCTGCTCCCCTGTCGGCACTACTTACGGCAGCTGTCTCAGCTGGAATAAATCATCCTCCATTGCCAGGCTGCGTCTGGAGGAGCTGCTCTCATTGCTCTCGCATGGCGGGGATGGCTGGAGCTGCGGGGAGTCAGGCGCGGGGGGCTGGACAGCTCCGGCAGCTGCAGCCGGCAGCTCGCACTGAGCAGCCCGGGTGCTGCACGGTACTGCACGGTACCGCACAGCACAAGCGGCTCCCTCCCCTTCCTGTCCCTTCTCTGGGGCTGCTATACTGCCACTCTGCCCACAGCTGGGACTCAGCTCCCACGTCCCCTCTAATCCTCACCCTCTCGGGGTTGCCGTCCGGTGATCAGCATCTAATGACGAAACACCTGCCCTTCAGGAGGTTGTAGTCACAGGGACTATTATGAGAAATGAGACTCACAGTACTGAAGACATCCACAAAGAAAGCAATGCGGAGTTATTTTAGATGCATCTGCTCCCAAGAAGATAGCAAAGGGTCTTTTGAGGAACTAGACGCCAGCCAAATGAGCTGCAGAGCCACTTATTTTGGTGAGGGGCTTGGCAGAAAATTCTATTGCTACAGAGAATGCTTTAGGAACTTGGGGAGAGTTCCTTTATGTGAACTCATGTAACAACGTCGCAGGGTCTCCAGGTCTGCCCACCCCAGACTCAGAATGAGATTGCTTAGTAAAAAATCTACATTGCTTACCTGAGAAAATACGCTGTCACCCAGGCATGTGTGGCCCTGCAGACCTTCTCCTTCAGTTGCAAGGGATAATGTATTTGAGCATATGCCTGCATTTCCAGAAGAATCCTTTGCAGAGAAAGGCCTGCCAGAGAAAATTAAGAGGAAAAATGAGCCAGGAAGATGACCAGTAAACATTTGACAAGATTAAGACAGATTTGACAAATTAGAGAAACGGTCTGAAATCAACAAGATAAAGTGAAATGAAGATAGGTGAAAAGTGCTGTAGTGAGGAAGGAGAAATAAGTTGTACACAATCAGGTTGGGAACAATAGAAGATGCAAGAAGCTTGGGCCCAACTATGAGAAACCAAGTGCACTTCAGTCAGTGAAGGGGAGCTGCGCAGTTAATCACACAGATTTAGTTTGTGATGCTAAACATTGAAAATGTTAACAGGCTTTAATACCTATAAAAAGGACTTGCAACTGACCTAGCTGGAGTTTCAGTTTTCCAAAATATATTGAGAATACTTGTTTAATGCATTATTTGCACCTAGGAGTGGAATTCAGATGCCTACATGTGAGCATCTGCTCCATTTTAGACAACTGTGTATCCCACGTGGTCCACAGCTGTGGATTTCACCTAAGACCAGCATATCATCTAGGATCACACAGGACCATGTGGATGTCTCAGATACCTTAGGATTATCTCATAAGGATCTAGATGTCTGTGTTTAGGCAACTGAATATCACTCTGAAAGTGTGATGAGTGCTTAACGGCATGAAATGCATATACATGTTCTGTTATATCGTCTCAAAAGCATAAGGGAAAAAAAGGCTTTTTCAGAGAACAAGTTTTACAGAACCTTTTCAGGATGCATTTGGTATCTCCCTCTGCTCTCCATTCTTTATCAGCTCCTTTGATCTTTTCTGCTTATCCTTCACAGACACACAAACTTTCAAAAAGAATACAGCTCTTCAGTTGTGCACCCTTTTACTTGTCGTTGATTTGGGTGGTGATGTGTTTGGGGCGAAGAATGTCATTGTTCCAGCTATCCATTACCATAAAGGAGCTCAGCAGTTTATTTCGAATGAAAGGCAACCTGACCCATAACAATCAAAAAACAAAAGGCCTCAGTAAATAGCACTGGTCTGCCAAAATATTCTTGAGTTGTTGATTTGTTTACTGTTCAGAAAATATGAGTAAAAGCAACCAAGATCCAAGATGATATGATCTTCCCATCCAAGAAGCCTGTTATGTTCCACTGGTAAAATATTGTAGATAAAGTCAGTACAAAGATAGGAGTTATTGATCTGAAACTTCTAGTGGAAAGCAGCCATTGCTGGCCTTAATTAGAACAGTCTCCGCAGAGCAGCCTTACTGAATCCAGGATGAGATTTACCTACAAAGTTGCCTGTATAGACGAATTCACAGAAGCTCTGTGTTGCTTCTCCCAAAATCTTAGCAGAAGATGGCATTTCTCAAATATAGATTTAGTTTAAAAGGTCACTGTACAGAAGCAGTAACTTTCTTTTTGGAATAAAGTGGCTATGTTACTTTTTTACTAGATAAACTCCAATCTTCCAGTAAGTTAAGGATGTGAGATGTGGTCCTCTAAGTGTGTCAGCTCTTTTCTCTCAAGTACTTCACGTGCGTGAGACAGCGATGAGAACGGTATGTCCCATATGCATACTACAGCTGTTGGGGCTACTTTTTTTCCCTCACATCTCTCACCTCTCTTCTCTTCTGTCTTTAGCTCCCCTGCTCCTCGCAGCTGCCTGCTGCCTTCCCCCTCCTCACCAGACCGCTCTCCTCTCCAGGAACAGCCTGTCCTGTCTGCTGTCCTGGTGCACAGGGAGCAACGTCAGGCAAGCAGGGACTCAGCCAGAAAGGCACACGGATGTACACCAGACACTCAGCCAGCAAAGGTCGCCAGGATTACTGTGGGAAGGAGTGAAGAGGGAACGCCCGTTACCTGTCAGACCCACAGACACGATCAGCAGCTGCCATCTCGAGGTGCTCTCATAAGCTGCATGTGTCACTCTGCCTAGAGGTGCTGCCCAGATGCCTCCTCTCCCCGCCCTGACGGGAAATATTTCTGTCACTAAACAATCCCCAAAGTAAATAGGTTAAAAAAAAAATATATAT